GACACTCGGAAAAACTGAAAAACATTTTTTTTTCCCAAAAATTAAGGGAAACAGTAGCGATCATGTGCGACGTTCCCAAACGTGTGTCAAGTGACAGGCAAGCCAGCAGCGCACACTCCACCTACACCTCTCACTATGGGGTTTCTAGTAGCAAAGTTCAGTCAACTGGACGACATTTGTTCAGATTTGTTCAAAAAGGTTGAAGCATCTGCTTTTCCTCTGCTCCAGTGTTGCGTCCTAATTTCAATCTTCCCTTTTTAACATATAGATGCGAGTTGTTATGCAGAAAATGGTGTTTTGCTGCTCCAACAGTAAAACATCCACTGAAAATCTCCATCCTTTTTATGTTACTATTCATCTAAGCTCAAACAACAAAAGAAAAAATTATGCTCTAGCTCTTGTGGTGTCCTTTGAAACATTTTGACGATATTTGGGCACTTCCCCATTTAAAAATTTACGTAATTTTAATGCCCAAAATACATTTTGTTACTTGCTATGTCAATTCAGTAAAGGTAATTAATCCCCCCAGCCCATATTAACTATGTATACTCATGTCATGTTTTAATTATTATATTTATATATTCACAGTAGTGTTGTGTATGAGGAGGAACAAGCTTGTGATGAGGGGTAGTGTTGTGTGGGCGTTTGTACTGCGTGACGCAAACACTGTCCTGCCGCAGCCCCCCCCCCTTCACTACACACCTTAAGCTGTTTCATACTCAGATGTCCATACTGCCTCGCATTCCACAACCCCCTACTTAAGAGTGGAATGCAGCCCTCCTCTACTATGATCGAGCCTCAAAGTCCCCTGCTCATCTATGCTATCCTGTCTCTACACTGATGTACATAACCACGAGTATGCAGAGATACGATACTGTGTACTCCCCTAGTACTAGGGCATATCCTAGTGACAGACGCTGTGAAATTACAGAAGTGCTTGGCACAAGAGGGGACTCTGATTAATGTTTTATTATATTGTTAGTAATGTAACCTGAGTAATCAGTAATTGAAAGACATTAATGCAACTCCTAGTGTGACCGTTCTGTGTGTTGGGGGGTGTTGCAAACCCCTGAATGGGTTGCAATGATTTACGTATATATAAAAATTATTACCTTTTCATTTAATTTTATAATTGCCTTATAGCTGTATAGCCCTTGTGGCTTAGCGCTTCTTTTTGATTATAATAATATATATTGCTTATATTTGTGATAATAGCTAAATCGTAAATGTATTGTTTTATATTATTATTTGACTTAGCTAAATTTGGTTAGGTAGGATGTAACATATGTGCTCAGTTCAAGTCTTGATTGTCTAACTACTGAAATTTATCGCTCCTTGCTCGTTACTCCTGCTGGCTCTGTTTGTGCTGCAGTTGTCCACGGAGCTATCACGTGATCGAGGGGGGGTGTCCTCACCTCGCCTGAATATTCAGTTCCTGGTCTAGACTCTCTTGGTGGTTGGACAGATTGTCTGTCTCATTATTCTTGTTAGTTCTGTAGAACTCTGTTCACAGAACATTGTTAGACTTAGTGATTTTCGAGTTTTTTCTGAGGTTGTTGTGTCTCATAGACACTCTGAGTAACTCAGTTCTGACCTAATTTGTACTGGATCTGTTATTATCACAGTCGGGGATTTTCTTAAACTGAACTTAGATTTAGTAGTATGGGAGTTTGGGGACTTTTGTGGAGGATCTGCTGATGGTCCCTACTTAGTGTCGTTATATTATCTCCTTGTTCCTGATCTGTGTCGCAGTTGCTTGTTATATTGCAAATTGGGTTTAGCATTCTTTTTGTTGTACAAGCAGACTTTTATGATTGCCAGTTGGTCAAGAAGTTAATTTATTTGAGGACTTTGTCAGTCACTTGTTTAAGTCTAGTCGAGTCGTGAGACATAGCGAACTACTTAGAGCACTTACACACATACACACAAACTTGTACATATTATAAATATTATTAAATGTTAATGTACCAGACGTACTTAAGAATTATAAATGTGATATGTGCTTTCAGCACAATAATATTGTACTCGAGAGAAGTGATATTATTTTGATTACTGTGATTAATTTAATTTAATTTGATATAATATACCTCTAGACTTAATAAATTTATTAAATTTTAATTTCTCTAGTTAGTAGCCTACAAGTTGTAATCCTGAAGCACTATTGAATCATACTGAATTCAAATGGATAATTGGACAAGGATACTGACTACTTGTTACGAAAACCCAGTAACAGGCTGGATGCTAGAAGGGCAGTCCTTTCTAGTATTCACTGGAGATCTCTAAGCTTTTAGAATCGCGTTTTTTGTAACATTGCAACATTGCATAACCCCTGTCAATGGACGAGTGTTAAAGATTTCCATCCTCCATGTGGCTTGTTCTGTGTTTGTGTGCGCACACACACACACAAACACAAACACACAAACACACACACACACACAAACACACACACAGGACACAGCAACAAGAACTGGAAGTTGAAGACTCAGATGAGTCACAGGGATGTTAGGTAATATTTCTTCAGTCATGAGTTTTCAGGAAGTGGAATAGTCTGGAGAGTGATGTAGTGGAAGCAAGTTCCATACACAGCTTTAAGAAGAGGTATGATAAGCTCATGGAGCAGGGAGAGGAGTGAATTAGTATCGACCAGTGAAGAGGCAAGGCCAGGAGCTATGACTCGACCCCTGAAACCACATATACGTGAGTACACACACACACACAATGTAAAGGATGGAGGCAGATCCCATGCAGAGGCACGACCAAGCCACCAGGAGTTACATGAAAAAATAAGGAAGACAATGGCTATGTACAAACGGGAACCAGACACAGACGAAAGGGCAGTGGAAGGAGAGGGTGAGGTCAGTCTTTATTCACAGGCTTCAGGAGAGCAAAGGAAAGGCACACAATGAAAGACGACAGAAAGAAAAACAAGAGATTGAAAACATCAAAGAAATAGGTGAGGACATGACTGAGAATAGGGAGGGGGGTACTCGAAAGGGAGAACTCGGCCAGTCAAACTGATTTTCAAGACAGAAACAGTGTGGAACAGGATCCTGCAAGAGAAACCATGGCTGAAGGAAACATTAACATACAAGAGGGTCTTCCTAGACCGCAATAGAGTGAGAACAGAACGACAGCAACTGAGGGAGAGGACACAAAAATAAAAGGGG